ATTCATCATTAGTTCAAGAAATTCAACAACTTCTTACGCAATTCCCGCAAACGTTTAAACCTAAGCTGCACTGAACTAAGCCCTGCGTAGGCACTATTGATAATGAAACCGCTGACCAAAAAGCCAAGGAGGCAAATAGCCCAATAATATAAAACACTAGTCTGACCTAATCAAACATCCCACTTAAAATCAAGCCTAGAATCAGACCTTTTGTTATTATGGACATCTTACTGGAATCAGGTAGAAACTGGAAAAAAAAAGATACAAATTTCTACCTACTCCTTCAAGAAAACTTATTTCAACAAATCATAGTCTCAACATTTTCTGCCCCATTTTTTCTTACCTAAATACATTCGGATTATATCATACTAACAGCTGCATTTGTGCTGCCATAGGTCCAATAGATCACTACATGTTCGATTGCGAAATTACCAAAACACTTCACTTCCAGCCATATACTGCAGAAAACGCTAGGATTTGTTTTCAGCAATTGTTAAAGAGCAATATCCTAAGACAAAACTTTAGACTTTAAGAAACTATTTGACTTCATATGGTGACAATCTAAAAACAGTTAACTTCTATCAATAAACTGATAGACAATATCACAATAACTTTACGTACTCCTTCATGATATTACGTAGATATTTGGATATTGATTTATATATTAGATATTTGGATATTTTTGAATTGAGATATTTGACTTTTGATATCCAAAACTTTAATACATAACTTCATGTTATACACCTCCAATTGTCTAAGACTGGGTTTCTTAATTTGTGGGTCACAACCCCCAAGGGTATCGAGGGATCTGCAGCAGGGAGTCGCCAAAAATTTTATCAGTTTTGATATTTCTTTAACTTATTATAATAATTTTACAAGTACCAAATATTTTTACACAATGTATCTGAAAATAGATAAAGATAAGACAATACAGACAAAGAAAAAACGAAAATGTTTCCACGCATTCTTTTTATAATATAAATGTTCATTTTACTTATTTTGCATGTGTCGCTGTCATTTCGTCCGTTACTTATTTAAAATTTTCACATTGTTCTATTTCTCTTAAAATTAAAAATTAAAGTTAATGACCTAAAACTGCAATAGTATATTACAGTACAAGTGAAAAAATTTACATTTTCACTCACGCGTATGTCGGATTTGCGCAATGCTTATGAAGTCTCACAAAAGTTTTGTAAATATGGTCCTGGGGGTTACGAAAATATCTCAGTGATTAAAAGGGATCGCGACTGAAAATCATTTAGGAAACCCTGGTCTAAGGATACATTTTTCTGGACAAGGCATTTCTATTTCGGCCAAATATTGTAAAAACTGCATGTAAAAAATGTAATTTTATGCAAAAAAAATTGCATAATTTCCTTATGTAGTGCTCACCAATGCATTGAATTATATCACTTGAATTTTTCAATAAATGCCGCATGGTCCGCGTAATAAGCGCTAATGTTGAAACTTTGTAATGACGGTACAGCAGCTTTTTACCGCAATGATCACTCGTCTCCTATCTTATTCTTGTTCTTATTTCTTTGTTTTCCGCTGCACTAAGCATAATAAATATAACCATGTTCACGTCGTTCATTTCTTGAGCTTTGTGTCGTCACTACCGGACCAGGAAAGCGTTTCGGACCATGCATTGCTAGACGTTTTTTCATCGTCCTCTATCTCTCCTGAAAGTTTGTCACCGATTTGCTGAAACATACTGTATAGCATTATTAATACTTATAATGTATTTAAAAATTAATTGCGTGTAAGGGTCTTGTAATATTGGTTCGAAGCACAGAAGTTGGATATTGTGGTTTTCATAACATTTATATCTTTTTAAACGTAGAAGTGAATAATCAGCGTAAAAGAATCTGATACTTAAAAACCGATTAGATATTTAAAAATAATAATTTTGTGTAAGTAATATTAAAAGCATATTCATGTAAACAGAAACAACATTCAATAATTTATTGTAATTTATTCCATTGCATTAATAATTAGGCATAAATTATTGTCTAGTTTCTAAACATGTACTTTTCTCTGTCAAAACGTATGGTTCTAATATTTAAAATAAACAACACGCAAGTTCTTAAAAATTAACAGTGTTAAAATAAGTAAGATCCGTTAAAGCGCAGTTAACAAGAATCTTTGAAAATTATGGACTTACATTATTCTTTCGTAATTATGAAAACATAAATGAATTATTTTGTTAAATATGAAAAAGTGATTATTTATTCGGTTTTATATATCTTTCGATGTCCCTAGTGAAGACAAAAGATTCAGGACATAGGAAGCAGGATTAAATACATTCCTATTGTTTTAACCGTCGAAGTAAATGTATTTATTAATGGAAAATATGTATATGATCCTATTTTAATCTAGAATACTATAATCCCTTGAACATTTTCACCGTACGAACGAAGGAGACGAACTAAAGACTCCAATTCAGAATGACTGAACAAATCAGCGGTGGATAAAGCTACCATGGGCTGAAATGTAAATAAGAGACTTAAGATGAAATCACATATTTGAGAAGTCTCTCAAGTGTGAGAACGCCTGCCATGTTCGGGTAGCTTAACGAAGAATGTGCACAAAATATGCTTCAAATTATAATTCCAAGGCAAAAACTGGTTGAAATAGCAATGAAAAAATGGAAATACAGACTGAACACACAGAATTAAAATAAAAAATTAAGGTAATACAAATTAACAATAAACTAGCCCTCAGGGGGAAACTATGTGCAATATACACTGCTGGGCATTAAAATTGCAACACCAGGAAGGAATGGTCTGACCAACGTCAAAGTTAAATAGTTGAATAAGAAAAGAAGTTGAGATATGCAAATAATTACTATTTCAGCGCATTTAGACGACGCAGAAGGGAGAAACGATATCTGAAGCAGTGCATAAAAGAAACGTTGTGCAGTGGATTTCTTATTTTAAAAGTGCTTTGTGAGGTTGGAGTTTGTTCAGAATATCGTCTTATGTCTTGTATAAAAAGCGGAAATACTTACCAGCAAGTTTTGGATTTCGATAGAGGCACGATCGTGGCTCATCGAAAGTGTAGATTATCGTTTCATGATATCGTTCGTCGCATTGGCCGACATTCAAGCACTGTCATGCGAATATAGAATCAGTGGATTGATGAGGGTCATACTGAACGGCATGCAGGATCTCAACGCCCTCTGATGACTAACACCAGAGAGGACAAACATATTGTGAGGTCAGCCCTGAAAAACCGTACGACCACATCACGGACCATTAGTCAGGAAATGGGCATGTTTGCAGCACGCCCAGTATCAGCTCGTAAGGTGCGTCGACGTTTGCAGCAGCGTGGACTATCAGCAGGGTGACCATTATTTTGGATCCCCTTGACAATGCAGCACAGAGAGAGACGGCGATTGTGGTCCGCCAGACGCCAAAGCTGGGTACAGGACTGGCACAATGTTGCCTTTTCAAACAAGTCTCGGTTCTAGGTGCAGTATTCTGATGGTCGTATACGTGTCTGGAGTGTCCAAGGAGACCGCATGCCTTCTGCTTGAATTTGATATCGGCATAGGGACCCTGCACCTGGTGTGATGGTTTGGCCAGCCATTGGGCACACGACACGCACATCTCTAGTTCGGATTAACGGTGATTTGAACCCAGATGGTTACATTTCTGACATCTTACGTCCAATTGTTGTGCCTCATATTCCAGGCTTCCAAACGTCATGCTCCAACAAGATAATCCGAGATCACATGTTGCACGTCGTGTTCTGGCATTCCTCGATACACAGGGTATTCGATTGCTGCCCAGGCTGCACGGTCTCCCGATCTGTCACCAATTGAAAACATCTGGTCATGGGTTACTGAGAGAGTGGCCCTCCACCCCTCTCTAGCTAATACGGTTCATGAAGTGTGGCATAGACTTGAAACAGCATGGAATGAGTTGCCCATTTCTGTCATCCAAGCCCAGTGTGACTCCATTCCTAATGGGGTAAAGCGCGTTTTAGCTGCAAGGGGCGGCAGTTGTTTCTACTAATTTCGCACCCCTGTAATCCTCCAAAATGTTTACAAATTTAATAATTTTGTCTTCATGCCATGCTGTTTAAGTGCAATAAATATCTTTTTTTTTATTAGCGTTCCTTTATGGTGTTGCAATTTTAATGCCCAACAGTTTTGCTTCTGAAGCTAGCGCTAAAATGTTAGGGGGAAAACACGAAAGGAAATACGGTACTTACTTATGATCTAAAATTTTGCGGCAGTTAGTCTTTGCCACAATCACCCACTATTAAACCGTTTTTGTGTCTAGAAGAGCAGCCTAACAATGAGTCTTTTAAAATTTATCGCAAATAATCTGCTTCTTAATTGATTCATTCTGTTGCCTTTTCAGAGTAAGAATGGGGCGGGCTATCTAAAACTCCCCCGCTTTTGCCGATTTAATAGTTTTATATAACGTCGGTATACATGAAAATTATTTAAATTGCTTAAATTATTGGAATCATTATTGTTGATTCAATAGTTCTATATAACGTCGGTATTTGCAAAAACAATAATTTGAGCATGTGTAACAATAATTTTTCAAACGACAATTTTTATTAAATATTCATGTGTATTGATTACTAAGTGACATGAGAATTAAATACTGTTACTTTTAAAATAATTAAGCTGACTGTTGCAGAAAATCTAATTCCTATTCTTAAATAGCTCCATATGATATCATCAGAAAGAATTCAGCGTATATGTATGTGTTTAGAGTCCATTTTAGGTTTCTTAACTCATCCCACTCTCATGGTGCTATTTAATTTTCTAAGGAATATTTAAAAAAACACTGAATATTTAAAGCCACCAGTGTCTGGAAATATATTCATCTACCATCATGGGTAGCTTCCCTAAATTAAATGCACTTACAAAATTGTGTCTATATCTTAATTAATAATTGTGCAGTCTTCCTTTCCTTTTCAGAAATCAGTGAGAAAAATTTAGAGTGAGAATGAATCAATGAGAAAAAAAACTAGCAAACCTCTCCAACAGCTACTTTAAAGTGCCTTTCCATTTAACGATACCTCCTCCTGTAAAATAATAAAAATATATAAATTTTTGGCTTTATACAGTCAGAAACAAACAGAAAATTGTTTTTGATCAGTCATTATCAATGAGAATTAATTTAGAAATATATAATTTCCACGCAATATTAAAAAACAATATTTTGCACAAAATAAGAGAATCAGTTTAAAGAATTTTAAGTTGACGTATGAAAGTTTTTCTAATACTCTTTTAAGAAGCCATCCTTTGATATTCTTCTAAAGGAAATTATTTTCATTTAAAAGATTTTAGAAAGTATCTTTTGAAATAAAATTTTCTATAGCGTTAGGAATTTTACCAGGAACTAATTTGCGTATAATGTCTCTTCGTTCCAGTCATGATATTGCATAGTAACTCATTTAGTTTTATTGAATAAGAGGTGTTGCAGCAGCAATAGTAAAGCTATGCTTGGAAGTTCTGAATATAATGTAATTAAAATATTTAAGATATAAAAATATAGTCTGTTAGGTTATACTTGGTATAGCACTGCTACTTTAGTCCTGTAACGCTAACAGACGGGATGAGAGTTATTATATCTGAGATAAAACGACAGAGTTTTATTAAGGTTATAAAACATTTTTCTTATTTAACCAGAAATTTGAACGTAAAGGCATGAATTTGTGTTACAACAACCACAGTTTCTAGAAATGCAAATTAAAATGAGAACAGTCAATTCACATTGAACGTTGATCCGCAATCGAAGATTACGTAATTAAATACTAAGAAGGTGGGGGAATAATTTACTGGAGCCTCAAATTAAAGTATCGGCGGCGACAGACTCAAAGCTGAGTTAATTACAATTGCTAGAACTTTTAGTAACTAACTTCAGTAATTAGTGCTCAATACCATAAACACTCTCTCTCAATATCCAAAAACCTCAGCTTAAATGCTTAAGCAACTAATTTTATTTCTGGTTAGGATTACGGAAAGATACATGCACATAGAACATTGATGGCATTACGCAGAACATCAATGGCAGCGAGAGAAATGTAAGCAAAAACAGAAGTAAATCATAAAACTGCAGTACTAATTGCACTATATCAGAGATATTTAAAAATTCTACAGCCATTTTCGGATGTTAGTATTAGCTGAAGTCAAGCGTCTTCTTGATTTTCCTAACTTTTATTTCGTAAATTCTAGAACAGTATTTATGTAGACGTTGACAAACAATCTGTTTATCTTGTAAATGAGCTACCTAAATTTATAACATAGTTGACTACAGTGTAGTACTATAAATGTATTGCATGTGTATTTATAATCAGTAATCTATTATTATGTGCCCAAAAAGACTTCCACTCAACACTATATAATTTATGATTATAATTAAAAAATAAACGCAAAAATGATGTTTACTGCACAAAGCTGTTTAAAATTACATCGGTTGTAATTATTATGGAAAATGAACTTACTGTTGGGCAGACATTTTGGATCAGATTATGAAAACAAAGCGGACGCCAGAAAATTATCAAGTGACGCTTTAAATGTGTATTTGAAAGTCGATGACTGGTCACCAGGCTTGAAGCTGATTAAACACAGTCAGATGTCTCCAGAAAGCTAAACATTCTTCAAAATGTGATTTCAAGAAACTGAGTCCGTTGCCGTAAGCAAGGAAATTTAATCTGAATTATCAAGACTGTCCGAGGGTGAAGGTAGCATCTAAAGACTATTATTTGCCGTCGTTGGCACAAAAGATCACTTCCAAACTGAGACCTGTCTCAACTATTGGCACTTGAGTGAGCAGATCTACTGCTTATTGAAGGCTTCATGAGCATGGTCTTTAAGTGTGAATACCATGGCAGTCTGCATTCCGTGTCTTCTAGAATACAGTGATTAAGGGGCTATTTTGTTCGCGAAGTTCCATTTCGAGCTTTCTTAGTTTAGGCTCTACGGAGATGGCAATAAAAATACTGTCACTTCAGTCCTTTTTTTTCCCTCAGCTTTTCTGCAGGTGTTCTGGAGGAGAACATCAAAAACAACACAATTTCAGGCTTTCTATATTTAGGCTTTCATTATGTTTGGTAGGAAGATACTGGAAAAGGAGGACATTAGCGAATTAAAGTCCCATTTTTAAGAATCTGTAAAATAAGGAATCTGCTTTACTAAAAATTATGATAATAATACTATTGACAATTTTCACGATTCTTTGGAACACTGTATTTTTAATACCGATTTAATATTACCAAATCTTCAAAAGTTTTCATTTTTCGCTTTAACTGAATCAATTTTCGGTTTCAGTTTTCAATTTTCAAGACGTAAAATTCTCAAAATATTTTAGCAGAGATTATTCATTACAAATCAACATGATCCTATTTCAAGGTAATAATAATAGTGAACTGTAATCAAATTCTAAAAATATCTTGTTTAATGTATTAGGTGTATTCAGTAATGTCATTAATGGTTCCTTAAGCAGTGCCTGAACTAAGCTTTAAAGCTAACGCGCCATTTTGAGATTGCGTAATACATATTTCACAGTCAGGTTACCTTCAACTGCGTTTTTGGATTTGACGTTGACCCTGAAAGAAAAGACTGAAGAATTGTTCTTACCTATCCTATCAAAAAAGACTGAAATTGCACAATTTTTAAAAAAGCATCACCTGGGAAAGCCTGAAATGGGATGTAACCTTATTTTTGCCGTTACTGCAGCAAGGATTTCAGGAGGTACAGATGTATCTTGATTTAGTTTAAACAGTAACACTGGACATGAGTTTCACTTAGAAAGACCACAAATCATGCAACCTTTCGTTTCATATGCATGAAACATTTCACGTTCTAAACTTCTTAGTTGGGAAGAATGATGAAACCAACCCTACCAAGCTTCATATCTGTGATAGAGGTTCTGTAACAGCCCAGAGATATGTACACAAATTTGTAAGGGCTGAGTACGTGTCCTATGGGTCCAGACGCTTTGTTCCCGCTTGACGTCATTGAGCTGCTTTAGTGACTGAATACCTTTACATTGAGAATATAGTATTTCGATTAGACTGGCTACCATGCTAGTCTAACTGCAGTGTTGTTGAGCATGTATGAAATCATTCTCAAAAGTCTATAATCAGAGAGCTGCAACTAGTGAGCTTCTTTTTCGTAGTCTCCAGGAGCCAAGATATGCTGTTTTACAAAAATAACGTTTGATTTCATATCTGCAAATGTTATGTATGTCTAATTATAACAGATAGCTCTTCTTTGCGGGCAATATCGAGAGGAGTGTAAAATCGACTTGGATCCTAAAAGGTGTGGATAGTTCTATGTCTGATTTAATTATATTTAGCACTTCTGTATTAATTAAAAAAATTCTCCATTTAGTACTCTGTTTTTAGATCCATGCAATGGATGATTATTATTGTGTGAGAATGAAATTACAGTTGAATCATCGATTTGAAAAGGGGAACAAAACTACTTTTGGGGGAGGAAAAGAAGATAAATCTCTTAAACTTCGCCCTGAAATTCCCCTAATTTTCCTTAATGAGCATTGCTGCCCACAACGAGGGGAAATATTTGGAGGATATTTTCAAACAAATACTTTTCCGCAGATTTATTGTCCATGAAATTGTTAAGTAAAATAAAAAAGTCATTAACAGCGCACTGTTTTTGTATTACTAAATTTATCATCGTTAGCCTCTACCTCAGTCATTATTTCCATAATTCATGTTAGTTAATCTGTTACACATCTCTTTGAAATAATGCGGTGCTACCGACAGGTAAACAAAGTGGTCTAATTTTTAAACATTTCTATCATGTGTGCAAACTATCATCGATTTCCATTGACATAACTGAAAAGAACATTATATCCTTCAGAGACAAATAAGTAGGAATTTCAAATTGTAAACTTGCAATTAGTAGACAAAACGATAAGGCAAAAAACAACTGTAGTGCTTAAAGGAGGTCCCTTTGCGATTGTACTTATCGTAATAGGAATTTCGTTTCACGTGATACCTCATAATTATTCCACATCGAACACGAAAAACAATAACAAATGAAATGACCAGCAAATTATATATTTTGGCGTTTGGAAAATGTCAACGATAGAAAACGCAAAGCTCTCGTTAGTGTTATATCGTAGAATCGTTACCGTTACTCGTATAATTTTAGATCTACAAAGAATACGTTCTTCAAATAACGTCATTTTGAATTTAATTTAGATCTAACTCGGGATTTTCTATTTTTTAACTCAAAAAATTAAATGAATGTTTTGGACATAATGTATGTAAAGAAAATACTAAAAAAATATCAGAACTACGCCGAGACTACCCGTCAACGGTTGTTCTGCACAGGTTCTTAATATACGTATATAAATCTTAATAATAATAATTAGACACAGTGAGTCTCCTATTAGAATATCTGTTTACAATTTCAATATTTATAGAAAAAGAAATAAATCTTATCTACTTGAATTCTGTACATGCTTCTTGACGAATAAACATTTTTATTAATACTCAACATCAGCATTTTCACAGTTTCCTTTGAAGTAAAGCAGGAACTAGGATATTATTCAATAAATAGAAAAAATACAATACACTATACAATTCAGTTAATAAATTAATAATTAATTCATATCAATAATTAAATTCATAGAATGCTTATATCACTAAGCAAACACAGATCAGAACATGCATGGCAACACCGAAAACTGATGCCATCCACAAAAAAAAAAAGGATAAAAACTCGTGTCATTAAAACATTAATACATTAAAAGTCTCGTGTTCATTCAATAAAGTTATTCATAAAACTGTCTCGTGGATATCTTCTGAAGTTTATTGACATGGCATTACGTAACATTCTCACCTTGATTCTCACCTTTTTACACCTTGATTTGCCACCTTCGAGGTAAATCAACAAAGTTCGAAAGTTCAACAGCCCAGTCTCTTCAGTATCTTGATTACTCTAACCGCTTCTCTTGACGTCTGAGGAGCCACTGAAACATCCTTCTGAATTGGACTGTTCATTCTGTGATGTTGCTGGTGGGTCCATTAGTACGATGTTGATCTTTGGT